ATTTTGTGTTACAAATTTAGAAGTGAGATATTCGGGAACCAGACCGTTTAAAGACTTGAAAACCATTAGGACTTCCTGAATTTGACACTGAAATTGCAAGTCTTTCCAGCTGAGTTTGTGAAACAAGGAATCGACATCAGGGTCATAGCCCGATGAAGTTATTACTCGTGCAGCATGGTTTTGTAGTTTTTGTAGCCTGTTAGATAATGTTTTGCCACAATCTGACCTCAGACTAGCCTGCAGTAATCAAAGTGAGGTTGAGGTGGTGAGTTGCATATGCAGAGTAGGGTAGATTGAGGCACAAGTGACTTAAGGTGATTCCTTAGTATTGCATTGCGCATCCCTAAGTCATGAGCCCACGCGCGTGCAAAATGTAAGAGATTTCCCTCAAGCTAAGCTCGATAGCGAAATAAATGCTCCTTTTCTCTTAAGCGAGCACGGTGACCATCGATTTTTTTTTCGGGTATTTGCTAAGAACAGTCTAATAAAGAACATATTTAAGGAAGAAAAAAAGTTTGATAGTAAAACATGATTTTCTTTTTGGAAAATAGTTCCATACTGGGTGTATTTGGGCCAAGGCGAGGACTTCAAGCTAACCACGGAACCGTCCAAAAAAGTGCAATATTTCCATAACCAGGCAATCAAAAATGGCTTAAATAAAGCAATACTGCTTATGTGAATAAAAGAAGCTTTACTTTCAACATAAAAAGACCCCCCCCCACTATAAAATTTCTATTTTGAGTTTGCCCCAAAATTTTGTGTTCATGTTTACGTAGTTCTCATCGAGTTATTAAAAGTTTTTGAAGAATCATTTCAGTCTATGTATGTTTATGTCATCTCGCCATCAGGGAGTCTCGCCACCAACGAACTCCCGGTCACCACCGAGCGAAGTCACCTCACACCAAGCGAAGTTTCCTCACCACCAGTGATGTAATAAGGCAGTGGGTAAAAGAACGAGGAATAACCTCTATATGCGACTCGATCTGGTTGGGGGCGAACTCGATCAAGTTGAGTCGATGTAGGAGCGAACTTGGTGGGGGCAAACTCGTCATGGGGCTAAACCGGCAGCTAACTAATTCAATTCTGTATGAAGGTGATTCGAATTTTTAACGTCCAACCAGTAAAAACACCCCATTTTAAGGGCCTGCTGACGTGTTAACAAGTACAGTGACCCCGTTTTTTTATTGCGTTTTTTAAACATTCATACCATGAATGTTAATTATGCCAAGTTGCAAAAAAAGTTTGATAGTAGAACAATTTTAAGGGAATTACCTTAACTAAATTTATGGCTTCAATTGCAGAAGCAATCTTTTTACACAGTTGATGTGGGAATGCCACGTCAGATTTTCATTGACATTTACTCCAAGTGATTTCGCAGAGGAAACTTGTTCAATCGGAACATTATTAATGGCGACTTTGAGTGTATCAGATAGAGTACTTAATCTTTGCCTGGAGCCGATCAATATAAATTCCGTTTTTGTAGCGTTCAGGGTAAGTCTGTTAGACAAAAGCCATTTGCTTAGTTTTTCAAGGTCGTGAGATGGACTGGACTGAATCGGATGCAAATCAGAACCAGGGTAGTTAATGTGGGTGTCATCAGCATACAATCTAGGTATGCTAAATGATAGACAGTTAGGCAAATCATTAATATAAATTAGAAATAAAAGAGGACCAAGG